GGCCAAAATCTATGTTTTTTAAGTGAAGATATGTTGGACACTCACAACATGCCAGACATTGCTTTACACAGACCCTCACTTAATTCTCAAAACAGCCCTGTGGGTTGGATGCTAATAGTATGCCCGTTTTGCAGATGAAGAAAATGAGTTAGAGAGGTTAAGTAATTTTTTATTAATACATAATAATTGTACATATCTATGGCGCACATGTGATATTTTGATACATCCATATGTAATGATCAAATCAGGATAATTAGGATATTCATCACCTCAAACATTTACATTTCTTTGTGTTGAGAATATTTCAAATCTTCTCTTCTTGCTATTTTGAAATAGACAATAAATTATTGTTAACTATAATCACGCTATTGTGCTATTGAACACTAGAACTTAATTCTTCTATCTAACTGTACTTTTGTACCGATTAACCAACGTCTCTTTATTCCTGCCCCCCTCTACCTTTTCCAGCCTCTGGCAACTATCATTCTACTCTCTACCTCCATGAAATCATCTTTTTTAGTTCCCACATATGAGTGACAACACATGATGTTCGTCTTTCTGCCTGACTTATTTCGCTTAACATAATCTCCACCCTTGCTGCTGTAAATGACAGGATTTCATTCTTTAGGAAGTCAAATTGTCCCTGTTTGCAGACAACATGATCTTGTACAGAGAAAATCCTAAAAGCTCCACCAAGAAACTCTTAGAAGTAATGAACAAATTCAGTAAGTTTTAGGATACAAAATTAACATACAAGAATCAATAGTGTTTCTATACACCACAAACAAACTGGCAGAAAAACAAATTAAGAAAACAATCTCCTTTACAATAGTTACCAAAAAAAAAAAGCTAGAAATAAATTTAATCAAGGAGGTGAAAGATCTCTACAAGAAAAACTATAGAACACTGATAAGAAGTCACAAAAAAAATGAAAATACATCCCATGTTCATGGATTAGAAGAATTAATATTGTGAAAATGACCATGCTACCAAAAGCAATCTACAGATCCGATGCAATCCCTATCAAAATACCAATGACATTCTTCACAGAAGTTTAAAAAACAACTCTAAAATTCATATGGAATCACAGAAGACCCTGAATAGCCAAAGTAATTCTGAGCAAAAAGAACAAAGCTGGAAGCATCATACCACCTGACCTCAAAATATACTATAAAGCTATAGTAACCAAAACAACATGATACTGGCATAAAAACAGACACATGGACCAATGGAACAGAATAGAGAAGCCAGAAATAAATTCATGTATTTACAGCCAACTGATTTTTGACAAAAGAGCCAAGAACATTCTTTGCAAAGGGACAGTCTGTCCAATAAATGGTGCTGGGAAAACCAGATATAGATGGTAAATATAGATGATCTTATATCAGACCCTGATTTTTATCCAGTTCTTTTCCTTAAAAAGTCAATTCTTGATTAACCTTTTAAAAAATTCTTTTTAAAAGAATTTAAAGCTCAGGGACAGAAAGTAACACCAACTAAGAAGATGGCATGGCTGCCTTCCCAGAGTTTAGAATCAAATGGGTTGAGACAGCTTCCTAAATAAGAGAGAGCTCACTTGATGTGAAAGGGGAAGAAGATGCTAAGAAACAGTCAGACTAAGACTAGCTAGCCCAGGTTCCACGCCGGGATGGGCTCCATGCACACCAGGGCTGTTCGAGGGCACCCACGCCCAGCTCTGTGTCCTTGGGCAAGCCCTTGACCTCTGTGGGCCTGTTTCTTCATTTGTGGGACCATCACACTGGTCTCATTTAGTTCCCAGAGTTGTTATGAGGCTCAACTGAGAGAATATGTGAAAAAGTGCTTGAAAACAGTCAAGGGCACTCTTTAAATTTTTTCTTCTTTTGCCCTTATCCACCCACCATAGATGTGGATCATTCAGCCCAGCCCAGCTGGCACGAACTTGAACACTTGTATCCAGTCCAGAGCCAGGCTTCAGGGGTTCTAGCCACTGGACAGCAGGTATCTCCTAGAGGGACAAAGAGACCGTCCTCTCTCTGTCCTGACAAATGGCCACCTGGTGGAGAAGCCGTGCACTCCAGCTTTTCCTCCCAAGGGAGCTCCTCTCAGCCCACTGAGCACTGCCTCTCAGCCTGTGCCACCCAACAAGGCTGCAGGGGGAACCAGGGAGTGAACACGCAGCAAGCGTCAAGAACATTTCCTGGCATCACTTGGGTTAGTCCTTTCTTCCCCATTCAACAGGAACTCCCGGAGGCCTGGACTGTGCAGGAGGGCTGAGGCTCAGGGCAGAAAGGGGGAGTCAAAGTATGTGAAACTGCTCTGTAGGATACCAGAGTGGTGCATACAGGTCGTTATGCATTTGTCAAAACCCATAGCATGTACAACACCAAGAGTGAACTCTAACGCAAACCGCGGGGTTTTGTTAATTATCAATATTGGCTCATCAATTCTAACAAATGTACCACATTAATACAAGATGTAAATAATAAGGCAACTGGGAAAGGAAGGGGAGTATATGGTAATCCTATACTTTTTGCTCAATTTTTCCATAAACCTAAAACTGCACCCCCACATAGTCTGTTCATTTAGAAAAAAAAAATACTGCTGCATCTAAAGTCACTGTGTACAAAAAGTAATAGAATACTACAGAAGAAGCAAATTTTTCAAATAAATTTTGAGCCAAATTGATACAAATTCACTTTCACTACTCCCTCTGTAAAATTAAAATTCTGTGACAATGGTGGGAAACCTAGAACATTTGAAAGAAAATTGAACTAGTAAAAACGCAAACTGATTCTAACTCCCAAACTCAACTAGAAATAAATATGTACTCTAAAGTACAAGATAAAATTTCAAGAGCATTTAACTGAGTGTGATAATGTAAACGTCCTGAAAAAAGCCTATTAAGATAAATTTAAGTTTTCATAATTCAGACTAACTATGGTTTAAATTGGTAAATCTGGGTAAAGGGTGCATGGGAGTTTCTAGAATTATACTTACAACTTTTCTGTAAATTTGAATTTATATCAAACTAAATTACATCCAATTGAAATTAAAACAAAATTTAAATTTATGCCACAAGAAAGTATTCATGGCAATCAAAATGACTCTCTTAGTCACACCCAGGAAGTGGGGAGGGGAACACCAGCAGCACACAGTGGCGTAGAGTGACCAGATGGGTCAGGATGGCAGCCCGCCAAGTTAGCCCAGAGCCTGGCTCTGGGGGCAGGCGGTTAATATGAGTGTCCTTCCCTCGCTGAGACACCTTGTCTAAAGCCACCATTTCCGAGGGGGAAATGAGCTCCCAGGTATGTAAGGAGAGAGAAAAAGAGGGTGAAGTCACTTTAGAGGATGCGGTGCTCTGGGTCTGAAAGAATTCCATCCTGGAGATGTGGAGAGACCTCATTGCTGAAGCCTCAGATCAGCTTTTGCCTCTGAGCAGTCAGGAGGAGGGGGGGGCACAGGTTCTTTCATCAGCAAACATTTATTGGCTCTTTGCTATCTGCTGGTCACTGTCTGGGCAGGCAAAGGGGAGGCAGCCAGGAACAAGACAAACACAGCCCCTGCCCTCATTGAGCTTGCAGTCTGGAAGGGGACTTGCTCCTGGTAAGGAGGGGCTGGAGGAGGGAGTGCCCGGGAAGCAGAAGCATTGCTTCTTGTTTTAACAGAGTAGGTTGCCAGCTCCTCAGTTTCAGCAAATGGAATGTCAACTTCAAGCTCTTACATATTTACGGAGGCTAAGGAGGCAGAAAGGGAGACCTCCTCCTAAGTTGTTTTGGGATGCCAATCTCATCACTGGAACAGAAGATTGATTTTCAAAAAAGATTCTAGGGTTTTCAGGAAGGGAGAGACCAATACCGCTACACCTTCCCTTCATGTTCCCATCACGCTCCCTGAACTAGGCAGCTATTATACGAAGAGCTAGGAAGTTGGGCCAGGGTAAACACGACCTGTGAA